AGTTGCCCTGTTTGAAACCCGACTCCAATTGGAAAAGAAGCTGCCACAGCCACAGACCTGGTGCAACTGCATCCTCGTGCTAACACTGCTCATGGGGAAAGCGCTGCGAGCCAAATCATGTCAAGAGTCGTCCGCGCTGGACTTCTCACGATGCTTCTCTGCCTTACCAAAGCAGGTCCGCCAGACAGACCAAGGCAGGGGCGGAGGCGGCAGAGAGAGGATACAAGACCCCGGACGCGCCGTTCGTAAATGTTTCAACATGGACTTCGTTGCCAAAATCCGGGCGCGCCTTGTCTCGGGGCGTGGAATCATCCGACACCTCAAAGGGCTGCATCAAGTACAGGCTTTGGGACTTTCGGAGGTTTCTCATCATCGTCCTGCGGGCACTTGTCTGAAAGGAATCCCGCTGTCAGCGTTGCTGTTAGGAACCAGAAAAAGAATCCAGGGCAACCTTGCGGTCCCCCAAAGCGGCCACTGTGCTTGTGAAATTGAAACAGCACTTTCGCCTCGAAAGGTCCTTTGGTGCATCTCTGCACACTTGAGCACCACCAAGGTGCCGTGCCAGTCTGCCAAGTGGACAACGCTCTTCAGGGTCTTGGCAATCTGCCTCTTGATCTGGAACCTTTCCACGGGGCTTCCGCGCTGAAGGATCAAGCAAAGAAATCCAGTTGCCAGCTTCCCATGTAGTCCTCTATAAGATATGGCCAATCGAATATCGCACATGCATGCCAGCTTTCATAGACATCTGTTGGCGCTGTGCTTACCACTTGCGTGAACGGAATCCAACAGAACTCAGCCTTTCGGTGGCTCTTCACCCGCAAAAATATAAGACATGTCGAGGCACGGTTTAACCGTTTCAACCCATGTCCGTGAGGAGTCACAGGGTCTTCCCGCATTTGGAAAATGTCCCATTCCCATCGAGGGGCTCGGAAGGCTTCAGCAGCCAGAAGCTCTCCCGGGCTTTCTCCTCCAAGGCCTGCTGGAGCTGCCCACCATGCTCCTCCATGGGGCTCTTTGGTAGGCTCCAGTCTGGAGGCTTTCCCAAAGAGCTCAGTTCTGCGTTCCGAAACCCCAGGTTTGATTGAATCCACACGTCCCTAGATGGCTGAAAAAAGGAGGGATCCCGCCAAAAACAACTAAACGAGAACCACTCAAGAAAGGAAGCTGACCCTCCAAAGGCAGCCACGCGCCTCCAGCAATTTGCGCACCCTGAAGTTGTGGGCATTCATTGCCAGGTTGATAGGATTCATGTCCAGGTTGTCCTTGCAAAAATGGCCAGTTTGTTATGTTTCTGCTAGCATTTCTTAAAATAATGCGCTGTGAAGCGCATGATTCAAAATGCGCTTTCTGAAAGCCAACACTGCCTTGAAAGCCCGAAAGCAAGCCCAAAGAAAGCAAGTGGGCTCGTGCGTTGAACAAAATAGTGTGACCAATTCTCCCCTTACCCCACAGCCGGAGCAGGGACTGTTAGACTGTTAATCGGGGACGCCTCTGGGACTTGGCACGTTGACTCGAGGACGGCCTTTACATACCCCCGCCCCGTCACAACCCCCCCCCCCTTTCCAAGACAGCTCCAACCCCAGCCCCCAGATGCCTGCTATGGATCTCAAACCCTTGCCCCACCCTAATCCCAAGCCCCTTCAACCTCACCCCAGCAACCCAACACCCAGGACCCAGGACAAGCCAACCAACCTCACACCCCTCTAAACCCTAAACCACCCCCAAATCACCAAAGCAACCCAAAAAAAACAAAATCAAACAAAACCAAACCAACACCCCCGAAACCAACCAGCAGCACCAGCAGACTTTGATCATTCATTCATTCGGCAGCCCCCCCCCCCCCCACCCCAAAGCTACCTTTGTCCTCATATATGAGTTGTTTTATCCTTGATTAGCTGTCACATACCAACTTGAAGTCTTTTTTGGGGTGCTCATGGAACGAGTGGCCAAGCCCATTGCCGAGCTGCCACGGCGTTCACCTCCGCCCGGTGTTCGATCAAGGCAGACACCACCCCTATCGCCTTTGAAGACTTCACGCTGCAGGCCTGCGAGAGTGTTTCCGCAAAGCAGCCCGACGTTTGGATGGGTTTTGAACAGCACACCCCCAGGCCCCTTGTTGACTCAAATCCCAGAATAGAAAAGAACTGCAGCGGCTGCCAGCCAAGGCGTTGATCGCAACCCCCTACCCAACAAAGGAGAGAAGCGAGAACCGCCGCGGCTTAAAACTGCTAGAGTCTACTCCAACAATTATTCCCTTCACTCACGAAAGCTTGCCAGAGACGGCTAAACACGACGCAGAAGCCTTACTCCAAACCAACACCCCCCCCCTCTTGTTTTGTTTCTTCTCACAGACCAGACCTTTTCCGAGGCTCCACGTTCTGCCCACGCAGGCACACCGCACTGCTGGTAGCAGCCAAGAGGGGCCTCCGAAGACCACGGTTGTACCGCCCTTGGTTCCTTTTTCCCCCTTCGGTTTTCTCTGGAAAACCCACTGGCTTGACGATCTCTGAGGCCCCGGGCCACATGCAGGGGCGTGCGCCAGCTGTAGTCCCTCAGGTTGACGTTCACCTTGGCCTCCAACAGCTCGCGCACCTGCAAAGGCCCCAGACAGGTCCCCAGAGAAATCCATTTATTTAGCGCCGCTTGTCACATGCCAGGGACGTTCGCGAGAGCTTGGGCGAGCTGGAACAATTACAGATTGCGGCGTGGGCCAGACAGTGGAGGCCCCGTCTTGGTGCTCCTGTGTGCAACCAGCAGCCTGCCTAATTACATGTTTTGTTTCTTTTTTTACATGCTTTGCCAGGGCAGTGGCCGCCACAACACCAGAGTTTCCCTTTGTGACGCAAGATGGCATCCTTCTGAGGAACTGTTGATCAGGCCCTCCGTGTGTGGCCGTGGGATCCAGCCACTGTTCGATTGCAGTGGTGACGGGTGTGGAGGGGGCGAGAAAGACGTGACAAAAACAAGCAATATTGCAGAGAACCCGTCGTGGGCCCTGTCGTGGCTTCTGTCGTGGGCCTTGACCCCCGTCGTCGGCCGCGTTGTGGGCCCCCTTCGTGGCCCCGTCAACGGGCCCCCACTCGTGGCCCCGTGCAGGTGGGCCCCGGTGCTTTTGGTGACTTCTGTTCGTCGGCCCCTCAGCCCGTCTTCTGTTGTGGCCTTGTCGGGCTACGGGGAAGATCCTCGTGGACGAGAATATCTTCGTGGACTACGGCTAAGTCGTACAAAGACAACAATTCTATTTGCAAGTGTGCTTTTTCTAGATGCTTGTTGTTTCTTTTTGTCGTGTATTGGTCACCCCCTTGATGTACAAGCTCGTCCACATGTCAGCGCACTGGGTCAAATCCAACTGTGGCCCCATTCTCGCCGTGATAGTCGGTTTTGGCGCTAGTGTTCAATTAGTTTCACAGAAGCTTCAAATGTCCTGTGACAGTTCGAGGGATTGCATCCATCTACAATGGCAAGTGGCATCATCACATTGACATGATGATTTGCCCGCGGATGTGCTGAATATCGTTGATGACCCGTGCGTCAGCGTGACAGGGGCGTGAATTCCGTCCCTTTTTTTCCTGGGCGTCCCGTCTTCTGACTAGGGCGTTCTAAAGGACACAGAACGCATGACCGCAATCCAACTCGAAATGAGTTTTTGAACATGTTTGGTGAGGTAATGTTTGAAGGTGGAATTTAGGAATCATTTAGAATCTGTTGCAGTTGAAAAGGCCAAGTCCCAACCTAAGAATCGGTTAAGAAACCTCAAAGGGCAAACCCTTTCTGTTGAAAAACTGCTTTGAAAGAAACCTGGAAGGGGGCCCCATTTCGCCCTTTTGATTCGTCGGGACCCAACCTTGAGAAAATCCCAGTGCCTTCGGCTCCTGCGCATTGGCGCAGGCATAGAAAAGCTGCAGGTCCTCCCCACCAACGCCAAGCTACTCTTCCCTTCCGGAAACAGCGTCCGGAATGGGTGGTGTCCGTGTGCTCTCTCCTCTCCAAAAGTGTCCCTAAGATACGTGAGGCTCCAGGCCTTCCTTTCCATGCAACACAACCCGGTCCGGTCGGGACAACCCAAGGCCCCCGATGCGCGGCCCCAGGGGGCCTGAGGGTCCTGGCTCTGGCCTCTCTGGCCATCGTCCTTTCGGCCCAGCAGCATGGGCAGCGGGGCCTGTGACTCACACGCCCGCGCACCCTCCCAACCCCACTGAATGCAAAAAATAAATGGAAGCAACATGACGCAGCTTTCGTGACTCCCTAGGTTGCCTACGCCCCAAAGAAAGCGCTTTTCTTTCCAGGGTCCAGCCCAAAATAAGCGAGCAAATGCAAAGGGCAATACGGGCAATGCTCTTGCTCACTGGGCCGCCTGCCAAAACAGACAGTACTTATAGAGATTTGCGACTCTTCTACAAATGCTAGGTGCTGCTCATGTGGTTGTTCTCATTTTGTTTCCCTTCAAACAACCCCTTTGAGGGTGTCCCTCAAAAAAAACACCCACAGCGCAAGCTTGCAAGTGCTTCGTGTTTCAGTTGACCGAGAAATGAGCGCTGAATGACCCAAGTGAGGAGCCCGGTGGGGCTTCTCTTGGGGTGCACATTGGCTACTTATCTGAAACCAACTCCTTTAGCTTTCTTTTCCAGGGTACCATTGTCTTCAAGAGTCTTCCTGAAACCAGATCCAAGCCCAACAATCTCCTCGGCAGTCGCTGTGTCAGCCATGGCGGTCACACAATATGAAAGAGCTCGACAGATTTTGGCGCATAGTTTGCTTTGCTAAACGTTCCAAATGAATTGCTTCCCGCTTCTCTGCTTCCTGCCAGTGTGCTTGCATGTTCTTTCTTGTTCCTGAATCTTCTGGCGGCTTCGAGTGTAGCAATCCACCAGAACTTGGAGCAGCCTTGCCTTGTGACAAGCGCAACCTCAACACCTGCGAACCCAAGGCCGTCCAGCCATCCAATTTTGCAGCTTGCCAGAGTCCCCTAAGTGATTAGCGACCGCCATGGGCGTCCCGGCGTCCCGCAAAAGGTACGGCAGTCTCGAGATTTAAGGTTCTGTCCTCGGTCGAATCTCTGTGCGGGCCAAGCACCAAATCAAAGCTGCATGAGCGAAAGAAACCAAATGCACTTGAGCTTCAAACACCTGTGGCGCCTCTCCGAGTAGCAGGAGAGCTCATCTCCTTTTTTGTGGTTTATGTCTTTAGGTACCCCATTGGATGTTCCTACCAAAACTGAAAAGCCGAGAAACCAATGCGGGTCCTCCCCGAGTTCCACCAGCCTCGCCAAATTCGAGTGCCCGGCTTGCCAGTCCGAAGTCTGCGAGCTTCGCCACCATGGTCTCTCGGTCCTGACGGAATTGCCACGTGTCCCCACAAAAGGCCTGTCCTCCCCAAACTGATTTTCGCCATAGGTACCATTTTTGGCAGACTTCCCTGCATATTGGGGTAGAAGCCCTGAAGCCTACTTTAGGGGTGATTGGAGTCTTCTTCAAATGTTGCAATACATTGAAACTGATTTCACCTTCTCTTCAAGCACAGCGCCTTGCTGGTCAGGAGGATGTTCTCGGGTTTCAGATCCCGATGAACCTGCAAGACAGACCCCGGAATCCAAAATCCAAGGCCTGGCAATCCGAAAAGACTGGCAGCCAAACTGAGCCCATGTAGCGTGGAAACTCTGGCCTTCGGGCCCAACAATCAATTTGCCAGCCAGGAGTTCGGCATATTGAAAGCGTGTTGGCATGAGCCAGAGTTCCATCAATGTGCCAAGAGAGATGCCCGCCATGGGGAAGATTGAATCTGTGATTTGGACCCAGCCAACTAATTTCACACGGATCCAATTTTCGTCCACTGTCAGCGGGTGGGTCCAATGCTGTGATCTGAGGCCAGACAGCTCAGGGACCTTGGGCAGCCCGACCAGCTGCCGCTCATGCAAGTAGCTCACGGCATTGCAGATCATCAAGAAGATGCGGGCAGCCTGCGCAACCCCGCTGCTTGGAACTCCGCTTGGATGGACTAAGGGGACCTCTGTATCATGTATCAGCACATGCCGCCATGCCGCCACCCAACCCCTCGGCCTGCACCTCTTGGAAGCAGCCATCCTCGAGAAGGTTCTTCAGGAGGTCCCCGCCTACAAGCTACGGGAATCCAGAATTGCAACCATGCCTGGCAGCAACCATCCCACCATCCCAACCCTGTTTGGTTGTCCCCAAGAAAACACCTGCACCATTCCGGGTTTGTTGGCAGCTACCCAACCGATCGGGAAGATCCCAGCCTTCGACCAGCTCCAGGGCGATGTACATGTGCGCCTCGCTGAAAAAAGAAGAAAAAAAGAGCAACAAACAAATGCCCATGCCCTTACAGTACCCCCCAATGAAAGACATGTTGTTCTGTTCCAGACAAATGACACCAACCATTTCTAATCTTGAGGCATACCCCATGTGTCAAAATCGAAACCGAAGGGCCGTTTCCACACGCTTAGCAGTTGCCCTGAGTGTCAAATGCCCGGGTGCACTCTGGCAAGCCTGTTCCAAAGGCTGTTTGTTTTCTCCCGCTATGATTGGGATCGCAACGTTGGAAGTCTCAGAGCACCAAATACCCTGGAAAAGGAACATGGGGGTCCTTTAGCTTGGCCAGCTCTGCCGACTGAAAAATGATGGCTTCGCCCGGTCCCAAACAAGCCTCGGTCTGAAACCACGTGCGGCAGGTCACCTCGGCCCGCAAAGCTGAGGGTAGCAGGTGATTTCGGGTCAACGCTACATCACTCAATTGCATCTGCCGTGTTTCACATGGAACCTTCAAAATGGGCCTGATCTCAAGAGGTTGTCCCCCCACCACGCATGGGTGTCACGGCAAATTTGCGGAACCCTCCACTCACGAGCCCCTTATGGCTTTCAGTTCCTGGGCTATGCTTGCAAGGTGCTTGCAAGACGCTTGTGAACGGGGCATGCCAGTCAACCCCCTCAACGTTGGGTCCGCTGCTAATCCACACTGGATTATTGCCTGCCTCCGGCAAAAGAAACGCACCATGCCAAGCTGCGATGTTGGGATGCGACAGACCTGGGCATCGAGGTGGTTGGTCGCTTCGGCCTGTGCTAACTGCAAAATACGGCCCTTCTTGGATTGTACTGTGCACCCAGTCCTGTGTCGACTGCATCTGTGCATGTGTAAGTGGGGACCCTTCGAAATGGTTGGGTTCTTGTTGGCCTCCGGCAGACCAAAGCGGTCGCAAAGCAGTCCCTTGCTACTTGCGCTCGCTGACAAAACACATGTGCTCCGGGCTCTTCATCATGTCTGCCTCGTCGTTTAAGCTCAGCCTTAGTGACTTTGGCGATGCCCAAAGAGTGCAGAACAGGCAAGCATGAAAGGATGTGACATGCAACATAATACGACCGCAAAAAAAGAGCAAAAGAAACCTCGAGACCCGGAAGCTCCTAGCCCGCTACGGGCCCAACACGGAACCTCGCTTGTGCTGGAACTGCAGGAACTTCTTTTTGTCCTTAGGCAATCCAATTCCCCGGCAATTGGGAACCACGTGTTACAACGACGTGTACCCATTATACATACTGTCGCGTGCCGTGTAGTTTAGATTATGTACTGTATTTTAAACTGCATATTCGTGTATCTACTTCCCCCACAAATAAACTCCCGGATTTGTAAATAGTTCCGCTGGTCATTTTACATTACAGTACCTCCGATGCCTGGCCTCGGCGCCCCCTCTGTATTTGGCACTGTGATCCTCTGCTGGCAAGGCTCGATGATTTTCATGGCGTACTTTTTCCCCTGGCATTGGTTTGGACATGACTCGCTGTTGCGTGTGAACGGTGACTTTGACCGTGACCCTCAAAAAACACTACGCGTCTTCTACTCCTGGACGCCTTCCGTCTCGCTAATGCAACAATAAACAAAACATTGATCGCTTAACCAAGGAAAGCGACAGTGGGGATTGCCTTGCGTGTGCAGAATTATCATGCCCCTGGACGGTTCTCCCAAGTAGCAACCACGGCAACCAATGTAGGAGAACATCAGGAGCAACATCACATGAACAACTTGCGTCACATCAGTGATTTAACAGGGGGTGTGTGCTCAAATACATATGTGTCCAACCTTATTCTCAAAGCGAACCGCACCGCTAGCCAGCCCCACGCCAACCCGAACACACCGCAACGCAGCCCAAAACCCACCCAGCAGTCGCCTGAATATCATCACTTTGCCGACCCAAATAAACCGCAAAGCAACCCAACCCGCCCCCGTTCAGATCCTTAAGCTCAGCCTAAACCAAGCCGAGCAGCTCCCAGCTGCTACCAAATCGAAACTAGTAGCCCTAGGTGCGTGTGAGGCCGGTGATGCTGGGGACGCGGGCAACCAACCAACCAACCAACCAATTTTGTTTTGGTCCCCGTCGTCCTGTTCACGCGCGCCCACAACGCTCGCTTCCCCAATGGCTCATGGACCGCGGATGGCGTTGACTTCTCAGCACGTGTGTTAAGTCGCCGATGACAGCGTAGGTCACACGCTCACGCAGTGCAGGACAGGAGATGTTTGTTCCTGGTGTTTATGAACACAGGCAGCTCAGCTGATGAAATCTGACTGGCTGCACTCTGGCGCGCCCGTGAACGGGACGACCGAGCGTTGTTTCGCGCATTCTCTTTCTTGCTCTCTTTCTTTATATTTCTTTCTTTCTTTCTTGCTTTCTCCCGCTCTCTTTCTTTCTTTCTTTCTTTCTTTCATTCTGTCCTCTTTCTTTCTTTCTTTCTTTCTTTCTTTCTTTCTTTCCTTCTTTCTTCCTTCCTTCCTTCCTTCAAGCCTTTCTTTCTGCTCTGCCTGGGCTGCGCTTTGTGTCGTGCTTTTGTGCCGTTTTTTTGCTGTTGCTTCTGGTTGTTAGGCTGAACTTGGTTCATTTTTCCGACGGCTGGCGTTTCTTTTTGCAAAAGCGCTGTTATAGGATGACAAGGTGCTGTAAGAGTGCCCCAGAAACACAGTGCTGCAAAAGCGCTGGTATAAGATGACAAGGCGCTGCAAAAGCGCCCCAGAAACGGTGCAGCAAAAGCGCTGTTATGCGAAGACGAGGTGCTGTAAAAGTGCCCCAGAAACACAGTGCTGCAAAAGCGCTGTTATAAGATGACGAAGTGCTGCAAAAGCGCCCCAGAAACGGTGCTGCAAAAGCGCCGTTATACGAAGACGAGGTGCTGCGGAAGTGTTGCAGGAACGGTGCTGCAAAAGCGCTGTTAAGAGATCATGACAAAAAAGCACCCCAGAAACGGTGCTGCGTAAGCGCTGCATCTGAGAACCTCCTGCAAACGAACCACCGCGCCAAGACAGCGCCGTCGCACTGGGTGGCAGGTTTGGCACCCTAAGCTCAAAATCACAGGCGGGGAATGGCTGCTTGCTGGCACCAAAGGTTTGAAAAGGTTAAAGCGGCGCTTGCGCAGCACCAGCTACCTGCCCATCTTCTCGGTGTAGCCGCGCCACTTCCCAAGCAAATCTTGTGCGCCTAACCCTTAAGATCCAATGGAGTAAACTTAGGTTTTGAGAATTTTTCTCCTTGGCCGCGGGGTATATGCGGCTTAAAGCTTGAAAGGCTTCACAAGCTTGAGCGGCTCGAGAGCACCCCCACTCAAGCGCGCTCCTGCACCCTACACATGCCTGGCACATGGCAAGCGCACCCGCTCAAGCGCGCTCGCTCCAGTACATGGCACTCGCTCCAGCACACCCACTCAGCACTGCACGCATGCCAGCACACCCGCTCGTGCGCAGCCACTAGGGTACACACGCCTGGCACATGAGCTCGACAGGCTCAAGCTCGAGAAGCTCGAAACGCTCGAAAGGCTTGAAAGGCTCAAGAGGCTCGGGGCCCGCCGGGCTGACTTGAGCGCGCGAAAAGCGAACACGTCTGCACGAATGGCCCACCGCCTCCGTCAGTCGTCGCGGGCGCCGAGGTAGCTTGGCACATGTGGACATGTGGAAGATCCCCAAGTCTGACATCCAACTCATTTGTATCTGCGTCTGGGCCCTGGCATACATCGGGTCCTTGCGCTTCTAGAACATAAAGAGACGAAGCTTTTTCGATTCGGCGCGCAATCCGCACACTTAGCGCAGCCAATTGTCCCGTTGGACAAACACACCAAGAAGATTTGCTCTCAAAGCCGTGGATTTTCTCTCCGGCTCATTATGCCAAAGGCAGATTCCGGAGGCCTTGCTTCATTTGCCAGTAGCACCAATGCCTCCAGAGCCAGAAGATCTTGGCGATCTGGGCGCAGCGCTATCCACGTTTATTCTAAACTGACTGAGGACGCTCTGTGCTCTTTGTTTGCATTCTTTGGTTGCGTCCTCTTTGTTTTGCGTCACTCCAGGCCCTCGCTTTTCCGAGCAGAAGCATCGCGCGCCCCTCGAAATCCGGCGCCTGAGATTGCGAACCTCACCTGGGAAAGCGCAACGCGTTCCATGCAAACTAATGTCGCGGAGAAAAAAAGCGCGCATCCGTGCCAATGGTCCCGGCTTCGACCCCGCTCCGAGACTTTTCCGAGACCACTCCAAGACCGCCTCTGTCAGGCATCGCGACTGAGGTAGTTTGCGCACATGCCGAAGAGCACGGACGAGGGCACACATTGCTTAGAGACACACAGAGAGAGAGAGAGAAACAAAAAAGAGGGAGAGAGAGAGAGAGAGAGATAGCTCATTTAGTTGCAGCACTATGAAGTTCTTGTTCAACCTCTCTTGGTTAAACATGTCTGACTATCATTTGATGAAGCGATTACTCCAACTAGTTCTTTCAATCAACAAACAAAGCTGATTTACATGATGACTCAAAATGGAAGAAGAAGAAAAAAGATGTGAGATGGAATCAGTACCAACCGGGTCTCCGATTTTGGGACAGCAGGACAGCCACGCCTCTTTCACCTCAATCCCCAGCTTCACCTCGCTGAAGTTGCCAGTGCCCAGCTCGTGACTGATCTCAGAGCCGGGGCTCACTTTGCCTGTTGGTGATGTTTATATCAGACCACAGCCAACTGAACCAAACAAAGACCCCAAACCCTAAAAAGAAACTTGGCTCCACCTGGCCACTGCGCACAAAGCCCAAGCTTCCAATGCAGCATTTTGACGCCAAGAAGCGTCCCAGTTCTTGGGCACCTGGGAGGAAGCCAATTCGTGTTCCCCTAAGCTTTGGACACAGGGGAGTTTGGGAAACTGTTTGGTGCTTTGTTTGGATGACATGTTGTGCTGCCCTAACCAAAGCAAAGATCGCGATTTTGTAAACCCCGTGAATAAACGTGCGGATGCCCAGTTCACGTCGACTCCACATCACAGCATTCTGTTTGTTTCAAGTGACGGGTCCCCACCACACGGTCTCCCCGTGATGTTTCCGCGTGCGACAACCCCATCCATTGTCAACGGCTCGGCCGAGCCGCCCAATCATCGCTGACCAGGTTCCGAAGATCCGCTTCCTTAGTTCCAACCAATCCATTCCCTCACAAAGGATTTACTGGTCGACTCAAACCCATAAAGAAAGTTGATGGGCATCCCCAAGCCCAACAAGCGGCAAAGACACACGCCACATTTGAATACGTCGAAACCAGGTCCGAACCTTTGGAAATGGCCAGGTTCAGGTTGGCTTCTTTCTGAAATAACCCGAATCCCTTCTAAGACACACACCACGTCTCCCGTGCATAAATGGAAGAGAATCTGCACATTTCTCAATCTGCATGCTGTGTTTGAGCGACCTGACTGAAAAGTACTAAGGGGAGGCGCGTGCTTGCAAAATCTGTTGAAGACATCTAGGAGATGTTGCGGTGTGCAAACTGACCTGTGAGCTCTTCCATTCTCCTGCATGCTGGACCAATAGGACAGAGTGGCCTCATTCAACGCGCTAAGCCACTAAGATCCCAGCTCTCCTCACCTCAGTGCCTGGGAATCACAATGCGTTGCGAAACCCCAAGGTTCAGGTTGAACCTGATGACATCCAGCCAGCAAAGGAGCGCAGCAAGCAGGCACACTCTCCCGAACATCCACACGTAGCCCAAGAAGCCAGCTTTCTTGAATTTAAGGGGAATTTTCTGTGAGGGGCCCACTGGTTTGGCCGCATTCATTTGCAGGGGAGTATGCCAAAAGTAAACATTCTTTGCAGGTCACTGTTTGAGGGTCCCACATCCAAATCTGTCCCGGTTCGCCCCTTGGTATCAGGGAAGGCTCAAACCAACGCTTGCCCAACCCGGCCCTCATCACCTGCCTTCCGCCTTCGGTGAGCCGAGATCTGGCCAAGAGTCCCAAGGTATCGTGTCTGCTTTATGGTGCGCCGGAAAACCAAAGAAGGGCTCCCTGTCCAACATACCCCCACTTTCTGGAAGACCTGGAAGCTAAAAGCTGGCATTGTGAGCAAGAGGTGCAATGGACAAGAGGTGTGCCAGCGCGGAATTCACTGGGTCATGCTCCCTTTCGGGGCGCGCTCCGTCATTTCATCCCAAGCTGAAAATCCTCCAGTTTGCTCGTCGTTGACGAATGCTTGATTTCCTCTTCTCAGCGGCACTGCAGCCGGGAAGCAATCGGCTTTCTCCACCAGTGCACACTACGACATGAAATAGTTGTGCGTCAATGCTAGGAACCCTTCCAAAATGGCTGGTTGACCTTGCTTTGCCTGACCTTGCTTTGCCACAACTCTGAGCCGAGGCACCTTCGGAATTCTTTCTCACCATGACCTGGCTGTCAGCGCTGAAGCAGTTGAATGAAACACACTTCGCACGCCTGTCATCCAGCATTCTATAACCCCATGCCGAGTCTGACATCCAAACAGGGAAGCCGTTGCGTTCCTTCTGGCTACCAAAAAGGGAGTTGCCCGTTTCGATTGCGAACTCTACTCACTCGCGTTTTCATTCCCAAACTCGCCGAGGAGGACCCGGAAGATCAGCGAGGCAAAGGCCTCCTGGCTCGAGCTCGCGTTCGTGGCGATGGTGATGGCATCGCCTCATGCAAACGACTGTGAAAACCCGACTGGGCCAATTTCCTGACATGACAAAATCGTTTTTGGAAAATGAGCCGGAATGTCCTCAATAGACTTCGAATAATATCATGATACTGTCGCTTCGCGGGACACTAATTCTGATTGCTCCTGGAGAGGTGCACCTTTGTTGGCCACTGAATCATCGTTCAACCGGGGGCTGTACGTGTCCGAACGAGATGCTTAGTGATTGGAAACCTCATGTGGCGTTGCCAAAACAGGACTCCCACATAGCTTTGACGGCGCATGAGTCACTTGCTCGTGTGACTAGCCTAGAGACGATCGGAGGCCGCTGGCTCAAAAGGGATGTATGGCAGGCATTGAGCAACCACGCTCCAAAAGGGCCGCTCCGAATGCACCTAAAATGAGCGGTTTTGAATGATTCCCTTTGGCGTTCTTTCAAACGCTCGAAGGCCTTCGACATCTTGGCCTACCCGCCGTGGCGCAAGGCCCGGTGCTCACCCTGCCTGAGTCGCCCGGGAAGGCGAGTTGGTCCATGGGCTACTTTTAGACTGGAGCCGTATGTGTTTCTTAGATTGGCCGTTCATGCGCAATAATGGCAAAACTCCGCCAGAGGACGAAATTCCTACCGGATCCAGTGATCCCGTGGAATGAAGTCAGAGCTTGGCTCAGACTCAGCAAATGGGTACTTGTGTGAGCAGAGTTTGTGAGTCGAAGGGGTGGAGGGCTGAGCGAGCTCAGCAGATTTGTCACATGGCAAATTGGGACGGGGGTTCAATTGTTGTGTGAGCGTTGGGGCGGCACAGGCAAGGCTCAGAGCGAGAAGGCCCAGCGGTCTCCCGTGACTCGCACGAGAAGGAAGTGAGAATCCCGAAGGAGAACTACTTCGCGGGCGACCTGCTGAACACGAGGAACCATCCCGAGGCGGCCAGCAGCCTGGTGCGAAGGCCAAGCCCTACTGCCCGGCGATGAACGTGGGCCTCAGCATAGACATCAATCCCTATGAACAGGTGATGGACATGGGCATGAGTGCGAAGGTCAAGTCCTGCGGCCGGATGATGGGCACGGGCACGAGGGAGTACTACGACTTGGTGGGGATGCGGCGGACAAGAAGCTCGGGATTTGGATCCGATCAAGGACGAAGCGGGAGTAGAGGTATTCCGGGCCGCTAGAGGAAGGAAGAGGTAGAGCTGGTTTGAAGAAGGGAGATCTGGCTCCGTTGAATTTGAACTGGATCTGCAACAACGCCTTCAAACAGGGGTGGAAAAGAAAGAGGCGGAGGTTGTATGGTGGAAGTCGAAGCCAGAAGCCGCAGGTGGAGATGGGAGGAGCCGAAGCGAAGGTCGAGCTGCCGGAATTGGCCTATGATCACTCGCCGGGTGACTCGATGGCTTTGAGCAAAACCATGTCAAGAATTAAGAAGGCGGACGCAGCTACTTATGGTTGGGATTGTCCCTTACTAACCTTCACCTACCCGGGTTTGATTCTGACTCAGGTGCAGCTGAGTGGTCGGGAACGACAGAGCAGGTAGAATGAGCGGCTCTATGAGACATGGCTCCAACCAAGGCCGGAGAGGCTGCAGACCACGGTGCGAAGCGGCTGAAGACACCAAGGTTCATCAGGACGGAGCAGCGGGGCGTGACATTGCTCTTGAAGGCGATGCCGCACCAGATACGCAAGGAGCTGATCTCATCGAGAGAGATCACATCTACGGCAGTGCTGTACAGGTTGCTGGTGACATACCAGCCCGGAAAAAGGTCTCTGATCCTCAAGAAGCGGATGATGCAAGGAGGCAGTACTATCTTTGAGCTCAAGAAATCAGGGCATCCCTTCTGGACCCCGCTTTGCTGGCACGGCCCAAGGTGAAGGCCATGAGCGGGGGAAGTGTTGGTCCTGCTGGATGGGACCGAGCCGGAAGCAAAGCAGAGAGGTGCTGGAAAAAGGAGCAAAAACCACAGGAAGATGAAGACCTGTCAAAGGGTCGGGCAAGCCAATGCCCAAGGTGGCGGTCAAAGCGGCGAGATACGAGGCGGGAGTGTGCTCGGGAAGAGGCGGTGATGCGATGGGTGGATGAGGCAGCGAAAGCCAAAACGACGGTGACTCCAGCAAGTAGAACAAAAGAGACATCATCGACATACGGAGGAGCCGAAGACACAGGAAGAATGGGATCAAGCCCAAGCTGGGCGTGCACTTAGCAAATGGGTCAAGCACGAGAAGGAGCGCCAGCTACGTTGGCGCTGGCTGCGAAGGGCACACAGGTGACGCAGGTGACTGTGGCGTTGACGGAAGCGACGGAAGCGGGCTAGGTCCTCTAGGTGGTGGCCTCGACCAATGGCAAGTGCTTGTCGCACCGAGGAGTCCGAGGAGGAGGTAGGATGAGTTGGGGTGGCGCTGCGGATCGACCTGATGGTGCTCAGCTGGAATGGCACTGTTGAAGGGCCAGCTGGATCGGAACAAGGAGTCCTACGCAGACGTGCCGGATGAGATCCTGCCGGATCAGATCTGATCCGCCCAAGTTGGGGTTTCGCAGGAGTATGACACCAGGGGCGGAGAGGGTTCACCTGCACTTGTGCAGAGGATAAAGTGGAGGAACTTGGAGAATGTCCTTCGCCAAGAACGGAAGGATGCTGAGCTCCTAGGAGGGCCTGCATGCCGCACTGTTTCTGCGTGTCGGCACCAGGACCGAGGCCAGTACGACGTGTTTGCCGTGCCTCACGCCTATGGATGAGAATGATGACCATCTATCTGGTCGTGAAGGAGACGGCAAGGAGGGGGAGCCTGACGCTGGCCACAAACCTGGAGAGCCTCCAAGGACTGGAGTTTGCTGGACCGGGACAAGGAGAAGGGTCCTAGGACTTGGCGGATCGCACAAACGCAAGGTCGGCATAGGCACCGTTCCTAGTGGCAGCCAACAAGGAAGGCGGCGAAGGAAATGTGGCTTTTAGGCATATCAGGTATGATCATTCGACCGGCTCCAGGCGAAAACAGATCGGGATGGTCGATCACTTCTTGTATAACACCATGATCAAACGATACCTGATGATCTGGACGGAGAAGGCATTGGACTTGTAGGACACAAAGTCCTTTGCCCTCCCGGCAAAACCATCACCGGCACACCAATCCAAACGACTTCTGGGTAAGATGAACATGTGAGGTCCCGCGACCGCCGACTGGAGCATGCAAATTGGTCGGTGCTGCCCAGCCGCCTTACGAACTGGTTGTTAATGAAGCAACCGGAAGAGGCTAACTCCTCACAGCAAGCGGCGGCAAGTGTTGGACAAATGGCAAGTGCGAGAAGCACAACGCTCCCTGCCAACAAATCATCCACAATCCGCCCCAAGACAATCAAGGTCGGATTTGACCTTGCTCTTCTGTCCTCCACATAAAAGCGCAGCCGCTCGTCGCGATAGATTCGCAGGTGCTGCGAAGACACGTGCTTGTCCTTGGCCTCGCATGACGGGAGCTTGAAATTCCACAGCCAGAATGGCCCTGCATACCCTGAACAGCTCGCACTGACCCGCCTGCACTTGGCACTTTGGATTTCGGCCCACCAAGACCTGGCATTCCAGACTGCGGGCAGCGAAGGTTGCATTGGAGCAAAAGGAGGCATCTCCCAAAAATTGACAAGAGGTATCGACACGACTGTGTCCTGCGACAAAGCTCTGCCAAACACTGATTCACAGAGCCAAAAGGATCAGCCATGAATGGAAAGATCATAGTTCTTCATCCTCGACTGGGGTCACCTATGGTGCAACGGGGGAAGCCGTGGGCGTTCGTCCAAGCGCGCCTCAGCAGTGTCAGCCTGGAATTTGAACTCTGCCGGTTCGGCGCCCCGAAGCGCCACCTCAAAGGAACAAAATTGTCAAAGCCTTGCCACAAAGAGGATGAGTCAAAGCTTGGACTCCTTGGCTGTTCAATCTCAAATGGGTCAACAATTTGGACCTTCTTGGCTTTTCAATCTCAAAGGCTGTAGTCTTTTGCGCGGCTCCCATGTCAGTTAGTTAGTGACTCGTCTCCCATCCCAACGGGGCTGGAGTACATAAACCGCATCTCCGGAACTAGCTAGAACTGAGTTTCGGAAATGGCCTGAAGCTCCATCTTTTCGGGCACTGGTGGCCGAGCCTTAAGCCAGCTCCAGGCCACTGTGCAGCAGCCGGATTCGGCGAACTCACTCGACATCCGTCACCGCAAAGTCAAAGAAGCGCACCGCAGACCCACACTCCCGGCGGCCGTCCTGCAGTGCACGCTAAAACAGCCACATGCATGCCACGTGCTCGGATGTCAGTGGAGGCTCGAACAGCGGTTGCCCTCCAGCTCCAGGGATTGCATTTTTGTTTCTGTTGCGAACAACTTCCCCATCGGGCCCAGCCGCCTCCTCTGACTTCGCCTTGCAAAACGGCACGCCATCGTTTCCAACGCCGTCCAGCCACAGCATGTCCTTCGACTGCCAATAACCTGACGAAGCAAAGGCCGAAATGCATTTTTGCCTCTTTACCGCCAGTGACCGTCTCAAATCAACGCAGTCACCAACCTCGGTCTATCAACGCAACAGTCACCAACCGCACTCTGAAAGCTGGGCGGCTCATCACTGGGGTCATGCCTTCTTTGAGGCGTTCGTCCAGGGTGTCAATCACCTCCTTCGTCCAGTCTATTGGCACAGACCCCCTTTAGGCAGAACGGTGAACCGGTTCTGGATTTGGTTGCTCTCTCTATCCCTTCTTCTTCTTCTTCTTCTTCTTCTTCTTCTTCTTCTTCTTCTTCTTCTTCTTCTTCGCTCTCTTTCGGCTTCTCGCCTCTTTCCTTTCTCTTTGTCTGTGGTTTTTTTCTTTTTGGTTCGCATTCTTTTCTTCCTTCTCTCTTTCACGCTTGGCCCATTCTGGCCCGCGATTTTTGCCCTCCCTTTCGGGGGGGGCTTCCAAAAATACATGACGTTCCTCCCCTCAAACAAAGACTCATCGCCCCGACAAACCCGGTGTCAAAATATGGAGGGAGACACACAGAAGTGTATGGATAACCTCTAGAAAAGCACCCTCAAAACAAATAGTCATTTTTGCCGTCACCCACCCGCTCATTCCAGCACTTGTAAATTTCCTTTGAGTTTATTGTCGACCCCACAATACATGCCATGTCCCGGGCACCGAGCAAACGGAGCATCTCCTGATATTGTTGCATGGAGGCGGTCAACTTGCAGTCATTCTGTGTCAGGAAAATATCCTGAGCAACTTGTTTCCGCCGAACTCAAAACAAACTCGACCAAGTTGTTGATCTGTGAATTCCATTGATTAGGATACGGCCATTCACGCAAAATTGTGGTCAGCCAGTCTAACTGGAGCTGGAGCCTAAAACGGCCTGACTGATGAGCGACATGATGGGAGACGTATAAGCAGGACAGGCCACGACGCTTTTCAGCTTGTCATCCTGATCCTGAGGCACAAATCATGCACAAGCTTCTGGTCCCAAACATCTGCGCAACTGCATCCGGTAGCTTCGCAAGGCTGTGGAAGACACTTTCAGCAAAGCGGCTACTGGAAACTCCACGGACACTTCAAACGGGTGCTGGGTATTGATGCACTTGCCCATGACTCCATACCTACAGCTGCTCAGCTTGGAGCGCCATCCAAAACACTTCGCCAGACCGCCTTTGCAGCTTTTATTTCATCTGAACCTTGCAATTTGTTAAAGTTGGATTGATGTTGTAAATACCTGAAGACCTGTGTGTGACAGCGCGGCACTGTTGTATCCAGGAGGCAAGCTGTAGCTCTACTGTATGTAGGCTCAAGGCCTTGATCATACAGATGTGCAAGGGCATGTACAAGTGAGGATGTATATTAACACCCCACCTTGGATTGATGTACCTAGACATCAAGACAAACAGTTGTGCTCTAGCTTGTCGAGGTGATGTAAAATTGTTAGCAGCTCTACTGACTGTTTCAATTTGTACAACGGTTCCTCTAGTGTGTCGAGCGGCTGTACAGACTGCAAGTGCGACCTGATGTCAGCAAGGTGTATCTGCTACACCGTGTGTCCACAAATCCGGTGTGCCAAAAATCGGCGATTACTGTGTAAGCAGTGTGGCTCCCTGCTTCACTCCTGTAATGTACTCATTGTACACCTGTGCCTTTGTTGCAGCGTAGTTCATGTAGAACAAATGTTGCTGCTCGAGGATGTAGTCAATGTGGCCCTCCTGGCACTGCCTGTCCCTCAATCGTGCCACGTGTGTTGAGACTGTTTGCATCCTGCATCGAGATGCGCCTCACCAATGTCACCTGATGTGCAGGTGGCAGATGTTTGATGCTGCCAACTCCCATCAAGGACAATGCCTGTGCCACTGTGGCATGTCTGCGGCATGTGTCCTCATCTGTTGCGAGTTGCTCGAGGTTCACGCAGGCGTTGTGGGACCAGATGTACCCTGTGTTCCAGTTGAACTTCATGTAGATCCCGAGCAGGCCATTGTTGCCAGTGTATTTGAAAACCTGATGTTTAGACAGCTCATCTTGTGTCTGCATCCATGTCTTATTCATGTGAATTTGCATGTGTACTGCACTGTAGCCCCTATTGAAGAAATTGATGTAGCCGCGGGATGCCCACTCAGCAATGCGCCTCGCATCCAGCTGTACCGTGGCCACAATGAAGGTGTCGAGGTGCTGTGTCCTGCATGTCCCGACAGAAATGAAATTCAGAAGCGTTGTGACAGCCTCGAAAGGGGAGCTGTTCAGCACGATGTACTCGACTTCTGGGCAACGTGCCCAGCCATGGATGTGTTTCAGCTCACCATTCTCTGTCTAAGATGTGAACTCCTCAAATGTCATTGCAATGTACATCATGTTGGTCTTGTTCTGGATGGTGTCCATGTGGATCCCATCCAATGTACGCAAGGGCTGTTTCCCGGTGATGTTCTCCTCAGTGTAGCCCAAAGATGTAAGGCTCATCGCGTCCCATGTCCTCGCCACTGTGACCTCTGTGGCCGGGATGTAGTCAGCGATCCTTGTGAGACCTGACATCGCCATTGTGTGCCTTCAATGTACAGGGGTGTGTCTCCACAAAATGTAAAACGGCTGCGACATGTATCAAAGACATTGTCTGAAACATGTATGAAACCTCATTCAGTAAAAATGTACCCGAGGATGTAAAAGGTGTGTGTCAAAGATGAACTCAAAGTTGTGTACCCAAAACCAGAAAGGTTGTATCATCTCCAGGGCAGGTCCATGGCTGTACCTAGGCCTAACCTATAAAACATGTGCGCCGGCCGTTTAGTTGTGAAACACACACGTGTGTCAACTGTGCAACTGTTGTTTAACATACTGTGCAACTGTGTGAAACTGGTGTTGTGTGGCCTCACAGGCCAACGTTGTACAGGTGCTTGTTGAGTGTGTCGCAGCTGACAAACTCTGTCAGCAGGTCTGATGGGTTCTCTTCAGACCTCACTTTGTGCATTGAAATGATTTTGCTTTTGACAAGTTGTTGTATGAAGAGGTGTCGTAGCTCGATGCGTTTTGCTTTCTATGATGTGCCTTCTCTCATTGATTTTGATTTTGCTGCACTGCTGTCTGTGTGTATCCTGATGTTGATGCGTGCCTCAAAAGCTTCTTTTATGAAGTTGACGATGTAGAGGCTTTCCTGTGCTGCTGTACCAATCGCGTACAGTTCTGATTCTGCTGATGAAAGTGCTATTGTGGCTTGTGTTCTGCTGCCATAATGTACTGCTGCTCCAAAGAAGTACAGTACAAATCCTGTTGTGCTCTTTCTCGTTGTTTCACATGATGCCCAATTGGCATCTGTGTATGTGTCAATGTTGAGTGGTATTCGCTTGTCCTGTGTTTGTATCTTTGGTCGCAAGTTGTGTCGCATGTACCTTGTGCCCTTAAGGTACCTGATCATGCGCTTGAGCTTCTTGTTGTCAAACTGTGTTGGTGCTTGTAATGATCTTGCTCGCTCTTTTGCTCCATAGCTGATGTCTGGTCGTGTGTATGCTAGCCATTGCATTTTGCCAACAAGCCGCCTGTATCGTTTGTGCAGTTCGTGGTCAAGCGGCGCTTCGTCTTCTGCTGTACCGTTCATGTGTGATACCCCTGGTGATGGTGCTGGGTTGCATGTAGTCATTCCTGACTCTTCCAGGATGATGTCAACATAGTTGTTGTTCAAACTGATGTCGATGTGATCACCTCTGTGTGAGATGTTTCTGCCAAGGAAGTGGATTGTTGATCCAACTGTTAGGTCGCCTGTGTGTCTAAGCAGAACTTCCTTTTGTATTCTGCTGAACAGTGAGTTGATGAGGCTTTGTACTCCTATGAATAGGAGATCGTCTACATAGATCATAATGTAGACCAGGCAGCCCTTTGACCTGTACACATTGCTTTCTGTTGTGCATCTCACCAATTCGAGTGTGACTGTGAGAAAGTGTGCTATGTGGTCTTGCCATTGTTTTGGTGATGATCTAAGACCGTAGATTGCTTTGTTTAGCCGCCACATTATGTGTCTGTTCTCTTCGTTGTAAAACTGGTGTGGTGGTCTCATTACCAGATTGTGTGTGATGTCTGCTGCATGTAGAAATGCAACACTCGCATCTCCTGTACAGACCGACCAGTTGTACACCAGTGCCATTGTGAGAAGCACTCTCAGAATGCAAAACAATGGTGTACTTGCGAAGAGTAGGCCGTGGTCTGTAACGGGTTCTGTGTAGCCTTTTGCTACTACGCGTGCTCGTACTTCGTTGTGTTTTGGTTTTAGAACCCATCTTGATTCAATGATGTTCGCTTGTTGCTCTGGTGTCATTGTGTTGCCATCAATCTCTTTGAAGACTGATTGTTCTCTCATTTGTTCTACTTCCTTCTTCATGCCTTGTGC